CGTTCCCTCTCTGCACTTTCTCCACCAAATCCTCTCTGCCCCTTTTTGGGGTAAAAAACCCCTTTATATATGATCACTTTTTACTGTTCATCATTGTGTGCTGGCTCCTCCTCCTTTGCTCTTGAGGTGGTGGTCTGAACCACCTTTTGTGTTGGCAGTTTGGTGTTGGTTCTTTGGAGGAGGTGGCCGAATTCCTCCTTTTGAGAGGCGGCAGTAATTTTTGCTGCTCTGCTACTCTGCTGCTCCTTTAGATAAGATAACTGCTGCTCTGCTACTCTGCTGCTCCTTTAGATAAGATAAGGATGATGGGTTTGGTTGATTGGGTTGACCTGTGTTGACCGATTTGACCAGAGTGGACCTGGGCCGACCATACTGGATTGGGCCGAAATGTGGGCCTGGGTTGAGTTTTATAGTTTGAGAATTGGGCTGCTGGTGTGGGTTTGTTTCTGATAGTTTTTTTTAATGTATAATTACTAAGTGTATCTTAAAGGTTATAAATTGTAATTTGTAATTACACATTTATTTATTTATGTTATTGCCTTCAGAATTAGATGATCATTGTATGTATTGCTCAAAGCTCAAACATTCAATTGATTCTTCCAACCCAATTTGTTCGCTTATCCAATTTCAAACCAAATCCAAACATCTAATCAATGCTTCGCAAACCATGGATTTGGGTCGTTAAGCAAAATTACCAATCGTTCTATCCCTTTTGACCAACTTTAGACCAATGAGACCAACTGAATACAATGACATTAGCATAGGTCGTGACAGCATACTATTGTTATTTTGAATAAAGCGAATTCGGTAGCCATTAGCTACTGCTAATCCTACCTAATACAAATATTCGAACCAAATACTATTGTTATTCTAAACAAAGCGAATTCGGTAGCCATTAGCTACTGCTAATCCTACCTAGTACAAATATTCGAACCAAATAAAACGGACTTAAAAATCGTTGGTACTTATTTATTCGCCATTGCTAATCTCAACCAACCTCGTCCAAATTTTTACTTGAGTTTTCTTTTTAAGTTAGATATTCTTTTGAGTTTTGAGCAGGATGGTTGCTCCAGACAAAATGTGGTGTCTACAATGGCTGTTAGCTTCATAGAGTTAATTTAATATATACTAGAAAACATCCTGCGCTTTGCTGCGGATGATGGCATACTGACATTGACATTAGTTGTTCCATTCTGAATTTCCATAAATTATGTCGAATTTTCTGTTGACGGTTTATTATTTTATAAATTCAATAATTATGTAAGCTAAGTTAGACATAACAATTTATAATTAGACTATATAAGAAAATGGCACCAGGCGGCTTTTCATGTGCACATAGTAGTTTTGGTCTCCTTGAATAATTAAAATAGCCCAAATCATCAAAGTTCTAAGTCCAAAATTTCATCTCTATTTACTAACGTAATTGAGTGGTGTTTGTACTTATTGATATTGTCGTGATGGGTGTTGTCTCCACTCTCCACCCATGGTTGTCAAGCCGATGAAATGTCGGCCGGTTAAATCTAAAATAATTGATGCCCGTCATGAAACTGACTGGAATACTATCAATATGATCGATTTGAAAATTTTAATTAGAAAATTTTAATTTCGTCCCTTTCCTTCCCATTTTCCCCAACTAATTTCGTCCCCATTATTTTAGCAACAGAATCCATTTTTTTAGTCCAAGCACAAATTACAAATACGTTAATACCCATCCGAATTATGCGGGATGAAGAGCACCGGCTGATGTGACAGAAAATTTTTGTTGGCATTCCCTTATATTTATTTGTAGATATAAGGGAATTGGACGGAGGCTAACGAGAGAGTGACTAAATGTGACATGTTTCAGTAATTCAAATGACATTCATAAAAAAAAATCGAGTGACCGGAGTTGGACGGAGGATTACGAGAGAGTGACTAAATATGACCTGTTTTGATAATTCAAGTGACCAAAATTGATATTAATTTTTTCTAGTGACTAAACATAACATGATTTACTAATACCAGTGATCAAATGCGGCATTTACCGATTTGACATCTTTTCTAAATTATTAGGCTGAGGATGCAATGGGACAGTGGAGCCGATTGAGCAAAGGATAGTCTGACCAGGCCAGAACTTGTAAATGGGCCCAGGCCTTGTAACTACCTGCTTGCGAGGCCTGTGCCTGTCAAGGCTTTTGGGGTTATGAGCCCAACATAGATGGATTGTCTCCAACAGTCCAACTACAGGTGTCAAATCGGGCAAGTTTGGTTTGGATTATGGTTTAGTTTAGTTCATCGAGTTGCACAGGTGGGATTTGGTTTATCGGGTTGCGGTAAGTTTGATTGCAGGTTATCGAGTGCAGGTTAATCGGGTAACGAATTGATCGGTTACAGATTGGGCGGGGCTTGAACTGATCGGGTTGCTGTTTGTTCGGGTTAGCGCATTGTGTTACTTGCTTTTTGTTACAACTCACACTTTATTTATTGCACTAATTTCGACTAGTGAACTTCGCGTTTTAAATTTTTGTAATTTAATTTAAATGCATCATTTCTAAACTTGATTTTGAAAAACCATATATTATATAATACAGTAATCATTCAGGTCAACCAGATTGGTTTGGGTTGAGTCGATCGAATCACGAGTTAATTTGATTTGAGGCATTCTGGTTCGGCTAATCAAATTGCGGGTCAATCAAATTGCGAAACCAATTAGATTGCGAGTCAATCAGGTTACAAATCTTATCTCCAACGAATACCGCAGGCGGCGACAAGAACAGAAGAGCAACTTATTTTCCCACCGATAGGTTAACAATAACGAACTGCAATTTGCACACCAAACGACTTTTTGTTGAATATTATGAAATTTCAGTTAGAAGAAGCGTCAGCAGACTGACCACTTGACCTTTTCAAATGGACAAGTTTGAACTTCCTTTCCCTGTGCAGCAAATCAGCAATCAGTCACAGGTAAGTTAGGTAGGCCGTGGATGTTAAATTGGATACGTGGACGATTTTGTTTTAATTCGGTGCAGTTGGAAAAACCCATCTCCGACGACTCCAACTTCTCAGCTGATAATCTAATTCGTTAAAACTGCTTTGATCTTCTTTCTCCGGCGACCTAAATGCTTGATCCACGCCACACGTACCCTCCAACAAATGTGTTAAACTAATTAAAAAGCTCCAATCAATGTAGGATCATAACCCATTAAACAGATTAATTAAATGGATAGTCATTGATATAATAGCTGAGTGTTTTGTACACTTGAAGACGCATCCAATATTCATTCATGCAATTAATAATTAATAATGGTGCAAAGGGACACTGCAAATTCATGCCTATTAAAGAACAAGAAAGGAAAATATATGAGAAGGACAAACTGATAATATGAAACGTGGGTGGTTAATGCGTAATTTGATATCGATTCACCCGTAAATAATATGAACCATAATGAGTGGGTGATTGATGCGGGTGGATGGCGAATTGATAAATCTTTAACCCTCATTTATTCGGGTGGGTGGATTATGGGTCACCCGCATGACCCGCACCTTATTTTCCTATGACAAAAAATGTTCTTGTTTATAATATCAAATACTCGTCATTTTTCCTAATCACTCTACATACTACCCATTGACTTATAAAGATGAAGAGTAAATAATGTTTTTGGACTACTATTATTGGCTACAATATTGTATAATATCCATTAGATATTGAAATACAAATTATAAGCTATTCATTGTATCGAAGTAGCAAAATGTATTAGTTTTCTCTATGCTATTGGTTGATGGAGTGATGAAAAAATTGATGCAACTATTACACGAATACAAAGTGGTAAATTATATAAATTGCTATATTCTTGTTTTTTTTTTTTGTGGGAAATGGTGTGCCAAAAGGGCACCCCGGTCTAACACTTAGATTAAACGGGATTGAGCAATGCTCATATTCTTGCTAATTTGCGATGAACTTAATATCAATGATAGCCAATTTTCTTAATGACTAATTAAAGAATTGTTATTGCGGGTTAAACCACAACCCACCCACCCACTCATACGCAATTTTATACACCATGTTTAACGAATTTGGGGTAAGTGTAACTTAGTATGTCCCAGAGTATGAAAGAACGACGATAAGAATCATTGACCAGTTTTTACAACAAAGGGAAAGTTAAGAACCTAATAGTTGACCAATATTACTTTAGTTTTCAGCAATCCTATTTTCCGAGCTGTTTCCGCCGTTGGATGTTTCTACCGATAACCTCCCAAATTGGGAAAATGCCCGACCCGCCGGCGCCACCCCACTTACTCTCCCCCACTTTCCTACACCACGCCCCACGCACTGAACGTGACTCCCCTCCCTACCCAGCTCTCTTTTTTTTTTTTACCTCGTCTTCCTTACTTATACCGTATCCCAAAGAGCGAAGAAATGGCGTAAAAACAGAGTTAAAACAGAGCTTGCTTGCTTGCTTGGGACGATCAAGGAGAGAAATTCCATGGTTTTATTTTACCGCTAAGTAACCGTCGGTAAACAAGGCTGATGACAGACAGTTGCTTGCTTTGGAACTGCCAATATTAAGGCTTTGGAGAGTACATATATATTTTTTTTTAATCCGTGCCTCCGCTTTGTTCTTCTTGTGTCACCGCCGGCGCAAGACTCCGGCCGTCTTTTATTCCCCATGTGGGACCCATTAAATAATCAATTACATATTAATTATGACTTTCTGGTGAGATTAAAACAAACCGCGAAGAGAACCGGCGGCAAACCTCCTCCTTTCTCTCTCTCCCGTTTCTTCGATGGGCGCTTAAATATTGTCACTGTCACCCGGCGGAGACTTTAACCGGAGAAAAAAAAAATTCAACGGAGAAAAACCGAAACTTCAACCAACCCAAAGTATTACGTAACTAGTTAGTTGCAAAGTAGACACGAAAAAACGTATTAGTTAGTTGCAGAATAGAGCAAAGTAGACACGAAAAAACTCGTCAAAAGCGCCATCGACAGAGCCTTACGTGCTAAGCTAATCAAAACCCAACCCACCTTTTCGAATTAATTCCAAAGTCGAGCACGATATTTTCATTTTCAACCAAGGTAAAAATCAAAACAGCACAACAACAGCTGCGTAGGCCTTGTATATCAATATTTTCTCTTCACTATATACATACAAATATATGAGAAATTCATTTTTGCCGGCGCCGGAGAAAGTAGAAATTTTAATTAAAACGACTAACTATGGGGGAAAAACAAAAGAGTAGAATACAGAAAGCTAAGGTACTAGTTCCTGGGGAAGAAAGGGGTGATCTTGATGACGAGACCCGGGAAGACTTCATCCGGGTCATGGATATGCGGGTTCTCCTCCACGATATACGGGTCGCCGCACTTCTCGCTTATCGTATTCAGCGTCTCCCCTTCTCCCACCACGTATATCTCCTCGCACGCCCGACCGCCCAGCTGGTTCCCCCTAGTCGTCGTCGACGGCGACGAATCCTCCGCCTCCGCCTCCGCCGCCACCGTCGAGTAGGTCTCCCTGATCGACGCCACCAGAATCAGCCCCAGCAGAACCGTTGACAGGTACCACGACGCCGCATCGGCTCTAGCTCTCCTCATCATCCTCGGAGAATCCATAGAGTAGTAGGTGTAATTTGAAGCTTGTGGAAATCTGAAGAGAATGAATGGAGGGATTGTGGGCTTATGGGTTTGTGTATTTATATGATGAAGGGGGGAAGGAGAAGTCCGGTCTAGCTATGTGGCAGTTTTTTTGAGCGTTGGAAGCAAGCTGAGGTGATACGACGACGTGTTGGTTGGTTTTTTTTGGCTATATTGGTGGGGTAGTGGGGGAAGGGAGTTGGAACTTGGAAGAGTTCCAACTTCCACGTAACACGAAAGTTTAGTTTTACTGATGAAAATGAGTTAGTGGGGGGTTTTTTTTTTTTTTGGATGTTTGTTTAGAAATTCCCAAACTTAACTGTATTTGTGTTAAGCTGTGGTTTAATGTTAAAATGGGTTGCGTGTGCTTATGGTGTTTTTCCTTCTTGGTGTTGGCAATGGATTGGCTTTCAGATTTTGTAAGCAGCTTAGATGATGATCAAGAAGAAGTACGAGTGTTGAATTTAAACCTAATCATGTGATTTCCTTACGCGATTGAGGTAATTCAGTTCCAAGGTGGGGGTTAAGTTCATTAGGATAGGGTTTTGAGTATCGTTACGTTATAAGATGGATTTAACTATTTTCGATGTGTTGTTAGTTTCGATTGTATATGTTTTTGTATTTATGGTTTCGAGTTATCTGCTTCCATCGAGTAGGATTGATAGATTATTGGGCAGAAAATGTAGAGAGCAATGCAAAGAGAGAGTTTAGAGAAAAGATCACATGTGACATGTGAGAATTGAGGATTATAGAGTAAATTATTTCTTTAATTTGTACACTTAGGAGCCTTAATATGCGACTAAATATTATGACCATTATTTTCATTTTTTGTTGGGTACTAAATGATTTGCTTGCAGACTTCACCTTATAATTAACTATTTGGTGGACAGCAATTACCAATCCTAAATGTTGAATTAAATTACATTTTGATGGTATCTTGAGTATCCTAATCACGTTACTACCAGATCAATAGTAATATGTTTAGGTTGTTATCTGTAGCTTTTTTTCATATTTATGGTGTAAAGCCATCATTTATTTAGAATTACTTAGATGAATAAACTTTATAAAAGAAAAGAGAACCTCTATGTCTAGAAAATTGACTTAGTAACAACACAAAACTTGTTTAACATTATCTATACAATACAAAAATAATTCATGCACAACGATAAAATTGATGTATTGATATATTGGTTCGGTTGGTGCTAATGCGTTAAGCAATTTGGTGACAAATTAAAGTATCTGGGATTGAACTTGGAACACGCACCAAAGTACACCATAAACTAGCCCAAGCAGGACAAAAGGAAAATAAAATAATAGAAGTTATATGTCAATGGATAGTGGGGGTTTGCCAAAAAGGAGTTTATTGTTTACATATTTTGATCAACCACATTAGCAAATATTTATATAAAAACAAACACATTAATAAATCAATCATTTAAAAAGACAATACTTTTAGATTCACATATTTTTTCCAACTGTGATCATCAATTTTACTAACTCGTTCATTCTAACAATCTCGCACATTGATCCAAAGACACGCTCAAAATGCAACGAGTAATAAGCACTCAATATAATAAGAAACATATATAACACAAGCATTTACGTGATTGCTAGTACAATGCGCCCTAACTAGTTCTTGTAATGGCAGAGAAGAACATGTTATAGAACAAAAAGCGATTAAAAAAATTCATATACAATCCATCTGGCATCCCTAGCCGAAATTGACAAATATAAGAAATCTCTTAATTGCAATCCACAGACCAGAAAATAGATTCACAGAGCATCTCAGCAATCTAACATCTAAAGACCACAAAAAAAGAAACCAACGAAACCAAACTAAATAGTGTTTTGGTGGGTGGAAATAGCAAAAAAATAACATTTGTCTTTGTTTTGTTGGTGTGTGTGGTGGTGTGGGGTGGGGTGATTAGTGTGTAGATAATGTATAGGCGGCGTTCCCACTCAACTAAACAGTATTAGCAAAAAACGTGAGTCTCAAACCAACCCCTATAAGTACTCCCCAACTAATGAAATCACCAACTTAACTTTTAATCACTTTTTACCCTAAATTCAACCATATATATATTCACCCAATTAACCCCAACTCGTACGTCTTGCTCGTCATATAGTGGCCATGATCAACTCGGTCGGACCCACATCCCACCCGACCTCCTTTGTGGACCAAATCACTCCTTATTGGATCGGTGTCAAAGTTCTTGAGGTTATCACTACTAGGCAACTTCTTAATTTGGCGTGCTTGCTGGGACCAAGTCGACCGGACCAGTTAATTAGGAGACATTTTTGGCTGGCTGGGGGAGGTCCTCTTAGAGAACGGCCGTCCACGGTCAACTGGTTCGAAAACGCTTTGTATAGTTTACTTTTGGAAGTGGGAGATTGAGTCATCATTACTTCCTCTCCATTTTGAATCATAAAAGAGACGGTGGGAAATTAGGGTCCAATGAGTAGAATCGTGTGGTTTTGGCAGGCCAGCTTCTTTTCTAGTTCCAACTGCCCTGGAATCGCATGGTCATTACTCATTGGATGCTTTCTTTCTAGTTCACCCACAACCCCAAAGTAGGGTTGAAAATTGGTCTAATACATCCTTGACCTTGTTTGACCCATTCCTAAAGGGTCAGAATGTATAACTGGCTGACCCGTTCCGTCTTTGTTACTTTCTTGACTCTGTCTGACTCTCGGTCGGGTAAGTAGGTTGGCCCTGATCAACACGCTACTTTTTTACAAATTACGTTTTTGTATCCATTTTTTTTACAATTTAGTGTCTAATTTTTTTTACAAATAAGTCCATAAATTTTGATGGTAAAATTACATTTTGGTACCTGAAATTTTTTATTTTTACAATTTAGTACCTAAATTTTTAAACCTTTACAAAGAGGTCCAATGTGGTATAAGATATTTGTTGTTGCTAAGGAACGCAGGATAAAAAGAGACATGTCCCCCCAACCTTTACAAGGTCAACAAATGACCCGTCTCTAATCTAACCATGTAGACAAACTGACTCATCTCGACCCTCAACGATGAGCCGGGTCGGACGGGTCAGTGATTCTTCCGGGTCATTACACCCCTACCCCAAAGAGAGCCCTATCTAGGCCGGCACCAATTCGGACTTTCCGAGGGGCCGGACGACCTGCAGTATTGAGGAAACCTGAAGGGCTTCAGGGTGATGAGATTGGTAAACTGCTTTAGTTTGGATTCATGTATGAGGATTGAGGAATTGTTGTGTTATTCGTTTGTCCAGAATGAGATGGAATGAGGGCGGGGCAGTGATTTACTAGTTTGGTAGGCCAAACTTTTGAGAGGACGGCAAAAAGAGAGAAGGCCAGGTGTGTTAGATGGTGTGATGAGTGTGTGAAAGTTTATGGGTTATAGATTGAAAACAGTAGTACGGGTGGGTCTGGATTTGACTTCTCATAATTTGCAAAATCTTCTATTTTTCACATGATTTGTTGTAAGTCTGTAACGTATCGTACTATCGGTCGAATCACATAAATTGTCTCCTGATAACTTTGTTAGTATGGTACACAAATATTAATTATACATAGAAAGTTTGTACCCTCATTACTATGTAGCCGAACTGCCTACCGGTATATTATACCTCCTGATTTGTTCGATATCATATCGATAGATTGTTGGTTGAATATATTATATTTATTTAGTATTATTTTACCAATTAAATCTTATCGGTATTGCCACTGATAAAATCATATATTGTATCACTAACCATTCCGCTAACTTATCTGCCATTTCACGGGCAGCGACGAATCTAGGGGGCCGCCACAGGCCACGGCTCAGCCCTTCCCAGATCCAAAGCTCGTATAGTACTTGTAAATTTTTTATTTTGGGTATATATTTAAATATTTATAGGGTTACTGCCCAGCCCTCTCCGCCGCTTTTTAAATGCGGCCCAGTGCTCTAACCTGTTATGGATCCGCCGCTATTCACGGGGAAATAATCTCTCGAGTTACGTGCATAATCCAAAACACACTATGGGCTAGTTTGGCCCTATTGTACCTTTTGCATAAACAACTTTTTGCTGGGGCTTTTAGAGAAGTAGTCAATAAAAAATAGTCAAAATGGATCTCGTTAGATTTCTTTTATATTAAATAATATAATTTTATAATTTACTTTATTTTAAAATGATATAAATGAAAGAAAATCCAATTTTTTGAAATAAAATTAAATATGATTAGGATAATCTTATACAAAAGCGCAATTCGGCTTTTAAAAAACCGAACTTTTAGAACTGTTTGACCCTGCTTCAACTTTTGAAACTGAAAAACACTTCTAAAAACCGGGCCAAAGACGAGAATTTTACAATGCTATATAGTATTGGTGCTATAGGTTTTTGTCTTTATGATACAGTTTGAAATTGTATCTTTAACGTTATGGTACAACTTCAGATTGTACCTATACTTTTTGTACAAATTCTTTTATGGTACAACTTGAACTTGTACATTTATGTGATGATACAACTTCAAGTTGTAAAGTTGTACCCTAAGATAATGATACAAATTCTTTTATGGTAAAAACTAAACTTATACATTTAATGTAATAGTACAACTTTAAGTTGCACATTAAAGCACCAATACTATATAGCATAGTAGTAGTGCTCGCTCTATATAATTCTGAAGCCACCCTTAACAAATTCATAGACAACGTATAACAACTCTTCCTTTTCTTTCCTGTTTGACTTGCATAAATTAAAGAACAAACTTCCTTTCGAAGGGGAGTAGTTGACCACATGAAAATGATTGCTTCTGTATGATTTGTTGGTATGGTTATGTTAAATAATATAAATAAACCTCATCTTGGTTGAGGTCTTGTTTTCCATCCACTAAACTCGACCGAGTACGTACGTTAGGATGATGCATCCCCAACGACAGGATACCAAATTTCGGGTTAACCTAACCCATACACATATAATGAAACTTAAACCACCAATGGCTGAATCATTGTCAGTCGTCATCATCTCTTTGCTAGCCATGCTACTTTTTCTCTGAATTAATCATTCCAAATTTATTTGTCTGAAAAATAAGGCCAGTCAATTTTGTCCAGCAGAAAAAATTAAGTGGGATTCTTCCGTGAGGGAATCAATGTACAATAATAAACTATTTGATTAGTAGGTCAATTTACAATATGAAAGAATCGTGGAATAAAAATGAGATTAGTCAGCATCCATCCATTCGAAATATTTAATCAGCGGTTGTATGATGTGGGTTAATGACCAACACTGAAAGAAATTATGTCTTTCCGTTTATTATGTGCATTTGTTCCAATTGGGTAGGAATGGGCAATGGGGTGGGTTAACTAGTAAACCCATTCGATTCTACACAATTATCACCCATTCAATAGGTGTTCTCAACCACTAAATCGATCCGATTTCACACAATCATAACACATTCAAATATTCAATGCGTGTTTGGATGAATATGATGTGAATCTTTTTTTTTTTGTTACTCCTAAAACTTGGGAGGGTGGCTACTGAGTAATTAATTCACAAAACTACTGGACATATTGTGTCACTAATTTGCATTCTATAATAATTAGAGGTGGCAATTGGATCGGATTCGTGGATTCGCGGATTGGATTGGTGGATCCATGGATCAAATGGATTGGTGGATTCATGGATTGGATCAAATGGATTGGTGGATTGATCCATGAATCCAAAATGACATCCAAGGCTTGGACCAAAATGTAAATTTTGAAAAGTTTAGGTACTAAAATGTCATAATGAAAAATTTTAGGTACCAAAATGTAATTTTCCAATGATATTTTTCGTATAAAAATATAAATTTTAGGTACCAAAATGTAAAATATAAAAAATATAGGTACCAAATTGTAATTTGCCATTTGGATCCATGGATTGATCCATGAATCCACCAATCCAATTGGATTTGGATCAAATGGATTGGATTTAAATGGATTGAATTAGGTGGATAATTTGGTGGATGGATTGGATTGAATTCATGGATTTGGATCATAATTGCCACCTCTAATAATAATATACATATTTTTTATATCTCAAAATATTAATCATGGTTAATTAAATTAAATTATTATTATTTTGTAAATTTTGTTTGACTTACTATATAAATTATACGTAATTATTTTAAAAAATATGATAACTACAGATATATTTATTTATTTTCATGAATGAGATAATTAATGTTAAACTATGCAATAAACTATGATTAATAGTTATCGACTCTCTTGCATCCGGTTATCGAGTTAATCCGGTCTAGTTTGATCAGACGATTTTCCAGCTCCACCCGTAATAATAAAAAGGGTGGATGGAGGCCATTTTTTCATCCTCCATCGAAATCTTGGGTAGTGAATGTTAACCCAAAAACGGCTCATCCGGTCATCCCTACAAATGGGATATCCTCTTTATGATGGTAAATGTTAGGTCTGTTTTCAATTCGAGTTTTCAGTCGTATGATAAAAAAAAAAATCAACAATTGTGACACATCTCGTAAGAAGAAGAGAAAAAATAACGGAGTAAGATTAATTGAATTTCTTCACTGTGTCTACTGTCTCCACGTTTTTTAGCAGTAGCAACAACTATTGCATTATTGGATGGAGAATGGTGAAGTGATAAAAAAAAATATCATAAACATTGCTGGCTCTAATTACTCCTCTTGTTATTCTCAGCAACAGTGTAACCCAAAATGACAGATTTATGCGAGCTATTTATAACAGGATTGAAAGTTGAAGAAGATTGACGGATGGAACATTAACTTTATTCTTGTGGTGCTTAATCGGTAACCTATTTTGCCTAATAAAACTTTTCTTCCTTTGTCTTAACGAATTTATTAACGAAATGATCACTTGTATTAACAAGCAATGCAGTCAAAAGCGCGATTCTACCTAGAAACATTTTGGTGATATAGAAGCGTAAAATCGTAAGTTTTTAAGTTTTAAAGCGTAGATTTTGACAACACTTATAAGGGAAAAGTGTGATTCTACATAGAAACGCTTTAATGACCTAAAAAGGTAAAAGCGTAAGTTTTTAAGTTTTTAAAACGCGATTTTGACTGCAACAAGGAACAAACAGTTAAATTGCAATTACTCATGACCGGAGTTAAGGGGTCGTTTGGAGAATATGAGTTTAAATCTATAGATTGTCAACAATCTAAAGATTCTAACTCTTCGGATTTTTAAAAATAGATTTTAAATTTTTTATTGTTTAGTAATTGTGATTGTTAACATTCAATGAAAATATAAGTTTAATTTTATATTAAATAACATGTTTATCCTTAATAAAAAATTAAAGTGGTTCGAGAAATATTAAAAACTTTGTTGATAAATATATTTAATATGATAAATAAATAAAAGAAAGAGAAAATGTAGGAGCCAAAAATTTCACGAATCAATATATGGAATCTCTCTGATTATGAGATATTTGAAATCCGTAAATTTTAGAGATTTGAAACCTCTAAAACTAAAATCCACAATACAAAAAGCAACAAAAAAACATAACTTGTAAAAATCTACAGATTCAATGAATACACGCTCTAAATCTCGTTCTCCAAACGATCCCTAAGAGCCGAAATCAAAACCTGAACATCATACAAAAAACAAAGAAAGGACATTTTAGCTACAGGGTGTACTACCTTATTGCTTTGCCTGCCATGCCAACAAATCGAACACACGGCTGATGACGACCACCTAGAAGACTCTTGATCTCTGCCAACACCGTGCCACCCTTACAACTCCAAATGACTCCAGCGTTTACCTTGTCAATAATCTCTTTCGTGTCTCCTTCAAACCATACTTGAAGCAAACTCACATGTGAACATAGACGGATACAATCCTTGAATAAAAAAATGAGAGAGAAACCCAGTAAACAAAAAAACAACAGGCCAGACATGCTGTTGATGGACCAACAGTGACCGGCCTGCGCCATTAGGATAAAGGGTAGGCCTTCTCACTTATGCATCAGACTTCGTAAGGTTTTGAACCCATACAGGCCCAATATGACCCTCAATGGGCCTGTAAAACGATTGAATTAAGCTTTCACAGTCCCCAACTGGAATCTCGCCTCGCCCGAGCGAGAGCCGACGAATCTCAACTCGCTGGCGAATTCATCCCGGAAGTTGGAAATACGAGGCCGCAGGACTTCAGAGTTCGCCCGCTGAAGCAACGATTTTTACACAACACCCTCAGGCTCAGAGCACTGGGTACTGCCGCACTGGTTACCCACCATTGAATTACTTCGGGGCTGGTGGGGAAAAGGGCAATGGGTTTTCAATTTGAATTTGGCGCTTAATCGTGGCCGTCTTCCTTTCCGATGAAGCTGCCAAGACCCACTTCGCATATCTTAAAGCGAACCGTGGAGGGTCAAGCTCCCATCAACTCGGTCAAAGCGCAGCACGCGCAACTCATCAAACTCCGACTCCAACCAGACCCACACGCAATGTCCGACGTTATCAAATGGTACGCTCTGTCTCCGTCTCATTTCGACAAAGCCCGTCTCGCCTTCAGCCAAATCGAGTTCCCGACGAGGCCAGTTTTCAATCACTTGATCCGGGGGTTGGCGCTCTATCAACCTATGGATGCGATTGAAATGTTCGTCAACAAAATGTATCGCCAGGGAATTGTTGGGGATACTCTGACGATGATCTTCCGGTTCAAGTCGTGCGGTCGTGTTGGGGATGTCTTGCTTGGTCAATTGTTTCATACCCATTGTTTGAAACTTGGGTGTGATTCGGATTTGTCTGTGTCAAATGTTTTGATACATATGTATGGCTCTTTGGGGGATTGCGTGCCTGCACGTAAGGTGTTCGATGGAATGGGGCAGAGAGACTTGGTTTCTTGGAACTCTTTGATCTGTGCTTATGCCGAATGCAAAAGGTTTAAGGAGGTTTTGGGTATATTTTATTTGATACAGGGAGCCAATGTGAAGGCTGATGCTGTGACAATGGTCAAAGCCATATTGGCTTGTCTTCACTTAGAGGATCAGCATACAGCAGATTTAATGGTCAAGTACATTGAAGACAACCAAGTAGAGATTGATGCTTATTTAGGCAATGCTCTGATTGGTATGTATGGCCAGCGTGGCTCAGTGGATTTAGCTCGTGGAGTTTTTGACAGGATGCAAGCGAGGAATACAGTATCTTGGAATGCAATGATTAGGGCCTATGTAAAGTCAGGGAACTTGGTTGCTGCTAGGAAAATTTTCGAGGATACCCCTAGAAGAGATGTCATATCATGGACTTCGATGATTACAGGGTATTGTAAAGCTAACCAATTTTCTGATGCAGTCAAAACTTTCCAAGATATGATGGGAGCTAATATAAAACCTGATGAGATCACAGTAGCTAGTGTACTCTCTGCCTGTGCTCACTTGGGCTCTGCTGATGTTGGGCAGGCAATTCATGACTATGTTCGTCAACACGGCATAAAAGAAGATGTCTTTGTAGGTAATGCCTTAGTAGATATGTACTGCAAGTGTGGTGCAGTTGAGAAAGCACTTGATGTGTTTAATAGAATGAAACACAAGGACGGTGTTTCGTGGACATCTATCATTTCTGGGCTAGCTGTCAATGGTCTTTCTGATGATGCAATTAACATCTTCTCCAGAATGCTTAGAGAAGGTATACATCCAACTCACGGTACCTTCATTGGAATTTTAATCGCTTGCAAACACTCCGGACAGGTAGATAAAGGATTGGAATATCTTGAAACCATGGAGAAGGTCTACGGTCTAAAGCCAGAGATGAAACATTATGGATGTATTGTGGATCTCTTGAGCCGCTCAGGTAACTTAGAGAGAGCTTACGAGTTTATAAAACAATGCCTATAGTTCCAGATGATGTGATATGGAGAATTTTGTTAGGTGCATGTATGCTCCATAGTAATTTAGGGTTAGCTGAGATTGTCACGAAGAAGCTCCTCGAGTTGGATCCTTTCAACAGTGGGAATTACGTTTTCTTATCGAACGCTTATGCAAGTTCAGACAGGTGGGAAGATGCTGACCAAGTGAGGAAATTAATGGGGGAAAGAACTGTGGGGAAGCCTTCTGGTTGGAGCTCCATTGAAGGGAATGATGGAGATGGGTCTGGTCATTCTCATCATACGGACACTGTAGATTCTTCTGTAAAATGATCTTGTGTTGTTTTCATGAGACGACCAACTGAACAGCACTGTTTGTGGGAAGTAATATTAGAGCTCGCCATCTTCCACGTCACCGGCAGCTATCAAGATGGTTCGATCGATTTGGCCTCGCTTGCGCAGCCACAGCACAAGGCAGGACCATCCAGCTTTGTTGAAATTGCTGTGAGATTGGAGGAAAGCCATAATCTTTTGGTCCTGAGGATTGGGAGGGGCAACTGTAACATTGGTTGGCGAATGGACGGGTCCATTTTCTCTTGCAGTGATTGTTCTTCCACTGTCACAGCTCACAGGTACATCAAAGATCCACTGGATTGTCCTTTTACCGTCTTTTTCAGTAGCCCACCTGACCCCAACTTTGCAATAAGAGGTAGACGACAAAATCTAGATTGTTGGCGACCGACGGGTCCATTTTCTCTTGCAGTGATTGCACACCCGGCCCTTACTTTGTACTAGGGGGTAGATGACAAAATCCGTATTGTTAGGTCTATCACAGGGTGCTTTGGCTTCAACTCATTTGGAATATAGTCATTCCTAAAGATTGGTGTTGTAAATGTGCTAACTTTTGATCAATAATTGCAGTTACTAGTAAGCAAGCATTGGTTCACTCGTTTCAAACGACTCTCCTTTTCTCGATGGACCAAGTTGTCGGTTGGTGAGACTGGAGTTACTCTCTACTTTGCCACTTCAGCGTTTGCTCCACTGACGGCATTGCTGCAGATGAGCCGCCCAATGGCCACCATGATACCAGCTCTTCTGGCGGTTTTGGAGGAGGCAGGCGCAAGTAAAGTCCATAACTTTCACTCTTTTCCACAGTTTTCTCCTAGTGATATCATTACTCGCCTCTGATCATCTTCTGGTTTTTTTTTTTATTTGGTTCGCCAATGGTTAGATGTAGAGCTCAAAGCTTCAAGTACTGGTTAGATGCATCCCCTGTTTTTGCCGGTTCATGGCATCATTTTAGTGCTCGTCGGACATATTGAGTTCTTGGCTTTTGTAGCATAAAGAAAATGTGGAAATGATTTGCCCGAGGAGGCATCTTTATTGTTGAGCGACTCGGTACAAGACTTTTTTGGATTTAGCTTTCCTCACATACCACCCCGATCTCAGAAACATAACAGATGAGAAATCTCGGCAATAGCTCGACCCCTAAACCCAGCCTACACCCATAAATCGATTTGCTTAGAGATTAAACATGCATTTGATGGCATTCCCACCACGAGCACTAGTCTCGAAAGCAGCATCTACATCCTCCTGAGTGAACTTAAACCTGTGAGTAATCAGTGGCTTCACATCAATCTTGCCTGTCTTCAAGAAATCGAGGCAGAGCGGCCATGTGTTCCGGTATCGGAATATCCCAATTACATCTACTTCCCTGCAACACCATAACAACGAGCTTCTTTCAGCAGCCATCCATTTTGTATCCAATAGTGTCAGGATGTTAGTTATCAAAGTAATAATGGCTGATTACCTAGCAGCAGCTGGTGTGAGTGGAATGGTCATCTCACTCAGAGCTAAACCAATGAGGCAAACTTTGCCACCAGAACGAGTCGCATTCAGAGCTGTAGCCATGGTCTTGTTGTACCCAACGCAGTCAAATGTCACATCTATCCCTGAACTCATTGCAGTTTGCACCTTCACCACTTCCTCACTAGCATCCTGTCAAACACATTCACTTGGCACATTAGTCGCCATACATGTTGAAGAAACGAACTTATATGGTTTTCGAACATGGATCAGACCTTCATTTCAGTTGAGACTTGAATGAGCTCATCAGCACCGAGGCTCTTGGCAATGGCCAACCGGCTCTCGTCGACATCAGTCATCACAACACGAGGGGCTCCAAATGCACGGGCAGCCAGCAAGGTGATGAGGCCGATGGGCCCTGCTCCCAAGATCAGCACAGTTGTCTCAGGTCCTACTTGTGCTCGACGACAGGCATGAACACCGACACTGAGGGGCTCGCACATTGCTCCTTCCTCCAAGCTCACGTTCTCGGGCAGCTTGTAGCATAGGCTTGCCGGGTGCACAACCTATTGCGGCAGGAAGCTGATTAGTATCCCCCATAGCAAAAGAGTTCTAGAAGAAGCAAGGAGGAGTGTGTTTTCACCTTGTTGGCAAGAGAGCCGTTGGTTGGTGGAGAACCAAAGAACCTCATCTCACGACACAAGTTGTAGCGGCCATTCTTGCAGAGGTTGCATCTTGAGCAGCTGATCCCAGGCTCCAAGGCCACACGGTCGCCAGGAGCAAGGTTCTTCACTTCGCTCCCAATGGCTTCGATGATCCCAGCACATTCATGGCCAATAACCATTGGCTTCTTCACTATGAAATTAGCGCATCTCATCGTCTGTTCAAAACAGAGCACACAACAACATCAAGACAGAACGAAACAGTTCAACTTCTTGAGGGGTTTAACAGGAAGAGACCAAGAGGCAAGAAGCCAAGTGTGTTTTTGATTTTGTTTGTCACCTTGAAGTGATGAACATCACTTCCACAAATGCCAAGCGCCTTTATGCTAACTTTGACATCATGAGGACCTACAAAAAGGCAGAGACGAATAGATGGAGCAAAATGTCAAGGACAGGCAAATCCATGATGAGACAAAGGGTCATTATCAAACTTTTCTCTTTTCATTTTGGGTTCAACATTTCCAGTCCCAAAATTTGAGGATGGAATCGGCATAGAGGAATGCCTTTTGAACTCCGAAATACCCAGTCAGTTTTCACGAATGGCTCCAGATTAATCTTCGATTTGGAAAAGAACTCGAGGGCTTAAGAGAACTTGGTTAAAAGGAGACAACTTTACCGAGGGGAGGGAGCTGGTAAGGCTGAATCCTGAGGGTTTGGACACCGAGAAGCCAAGCGGCCATATTCTCTTCCTCTCCTCCATCTTTCTTCTGCACCATGATTTCAGCACCATTCGCCATTTCCCTGCTCTGTTTTTTCTTCTTGTTCCGGAGGCGGAAGAGAAAATGGAAATGTGAGATGACAGAGAGTTCGTCGACCTTTGAAGAGGGGTCGATACTCGATAGCTATATATATTGGCAGGGAAGTAGAGAGCGGCCGGGTTGGTAGTTGTTACCGATTAATGGCAAATGTATAAAATTGATCTCTCTCTTCTCTCTCTTGTGCACTGCAATCACTGTTTCGAATCTTTTCTTTTTAACCACTATTGTTTTTGAAAAAAATCACAAGTTACACGTGTTTTTATAAAAAAAATTCAAAATACACATGTTATGAAAATAATTCTCAATCTATGCATGTTTGGGCCTTCATCGCGTCAGAGCAAGGCGGTAATTGCATCACTGCGTGAAAGAAGGGCGGTGATTGCATCACCGCATGAGAGAAGCACGGTGATTGCATCACCGCTGTAGAGGAAGGCGGTGAAGGTCTGACCTGCATCAAAACTTTTAAAAAACATAACTTTGTGCTCGGTTATCCGATTGTAGCGAAATTTGTTTTGATTCCGCATAATTTTTTGAGATCTTGCAAGCCGCAAACGGCCGTAGGCAGTTTGGTCCCGCCTTCGTCTCGAAAAAATGTCGTTTGCTACCCCGAACGAGCCTTTTTTCGATTTCGTCAAACTTTGAACGACCATAACTTTGTGCTCCACAATCCGAAAATCTTGAATTTTTTTTGATTTCGCATAACTCTTTAAGGACTACAAATTTTTTTCTGTTGTTTTTGTTCCTGATGATGTTCTAGATGGGGAGTAGAGATGTAGGAGAATCAATGGGGCTGCGCTCTTTTTGTGGGTTTCTTGAGAAATGCATGGCACTGGCAACAAAAACTGCGGGTACTAGTCGGAAACAAAAAGACAAGTGGGTAGACAAGAATCTCGAGCTAGGACGAAGTAAATAACAAAAAGAAAAAAAAAACAAATGGTAACACGACAGCATATACAGTAGTTTTATTTACCCTTGGTAAGTCTTGTTGTCTAATAAATCTTGATGCTAAATATATGTATTGGGATGAATATAAGTTTATAATGATGTATATATTAAAAAATTTAGTGGGTTCTACATTACATTGTTTGATAAGTATGATTGTGTAGTTTTGAAAAAATTATGTTATAAGTGTAGCATTCTTTCTACTCTTTTCCCAATATTAAAAAGAACAAACACAAATAATTAGGGATATAACTTGAACAAGAAAATATTCTAACAATTCGAACTCAACTATTTCAGCAACAAAAACAAATTTATGTATTTATTATTATTATTATTATAGTAACATCTATAATGTATTAAACAATTAATGCATTATGGGTTTCTTATTCAAACAGGAAAGGAGAAAAATCAGTGGTCTATAAAAATCAAAACTCCTGGGTTTCCTACTTATATGGGCCATCACATGTGCGGCTCCATTACACTCTCGTTTGGCAAAATGCCACAATAGTGATCCCGAAATCTCCGCCTCCTATTTTAGTCTCGAAGAATCGGTTTGACTTCCACTCTTGTTTGCTCATCCTCTGCAAAGCGAGAAATGCGACCTCACAATCCGTCTCGGCGATAACGGAATGGAAGTCGTGCATCTCTGCTTGTTGGAGGCCGAATGCAATCGTCTTGATTTCTGCCAGCTCCGGTGGACAAATGGTCCTTTCCCGATGGACTGCATCGAGCAGGAAGTCCTCGTTCTCGTCGCGAACCGCCACCCCGAAGCCAGTTCCTTCGCCTTTCATCATAGTCGCATCCACGTTCATTTTGATCCATCCTATGAGTGGTGGTTCCTAGGTACGAGCCTTCACTTGTCTTTCTAGCTTCTCTTTTGTGTGATATGAGTTGAATTCTTCCAGTAGTCTACAGCTTTACCAAGAATCTCTCATTCTTCGTATTTTTCGTTGTTAAGCATCTTATTGTTACTCTTTTTCCAAATCGCCCATAGGATCATCCCAAATTGACTCATAGTTTCATCATCAACTTTCTCCATCACTTCACAAATTCAGCTTTCCACGGTTGGGTTAGGCTCCATTTCAGACAATGGTCTGAAAACAGTGGGTCTCCCGACTCTGATTTCCCATTGGCATTCCCTGAAGATATATTGTTGTGTCTCTTCTAGATTACAGAAAGGACATTTCGTAGTGACATCCTTCTTTCAACCCTTCTAAATTCTTTCCTGTTGGTAGTATGTTATCCATGACCCGCCATAGGAATACTTTCACTTTTTAAGGGAGGACCAGTTTCCACATTCGTTTCAATTCATCACATCATAAGCCTCCACAACTCCTTATATTTCCTATGATTCCTCATTATATGCACCATCTGCTTCCTCTCTATCAACCTGGGTGTTTGTCATATCTTCGCAGATTAGTTTGCAAGTTGTTTTTACATAGTAGAGACTTGTTTTTTCATAACTCCATACTTGTGCGGAAAAAGTCCAAAACTACCACTTTTTTAAAAATAATTACAAAACTACCACCCAAACCGAAAAAATTCCAAATCTACCACCCTTAATTAAACACCGCACCACGGAGGGGCGGTTATAGAGAAAACCGCACTACAAAGGGGCAGTTTCTGTTGGGGCAGACCACAAACAGCTTCCCAAGGCGGCGTTTCCGGTAACCGTTGGATAAGGGGGCGATCCAACAGCGAGACCACCTGCTGACTCACTCCTACTGTCACTCTAGAAATTGGCCAAGTGTAACCACTTCCTAAAGCGTAGTATAGCGGGTTTGGGTTTTAATGTCAACCCGGGTCCTAGATTTGATGACTACTCAGTGAATTCTTATTATCTAGCGGTAAAACTTAAGTGCAGGTTCAAACAAACAAAAACACAAGGCAAGTTAAACGGTTGTTTCAAGTCAAGAGAGGTCACCCGGATATGGTTCCCCCTAGACTACAGTTAAGCCGGATTGCAATTTACCAAGTTCAGTTTCCATGAAAGTTATACTGCGGAAGGTTCTTAAACAGTCTGAAGTCTCGACTAAAGGTCTTCAGACCCTCTCAATCTGAGTCTCCAGCGGGCGACTAACCTCCACCGGAGTAAACAGATTGAGGCCCTAACGAACCAAACCTCCACTACCGAATTGAATTCGGTACAGAGTAGCGAATTGGCTCCTCGACTAAAGTCACCAATTCGCCACCTTCAATTAAGGGCGCTCTATCAACCTATGCAGATATTCTCATTCTAGGTTAAAGCAGAAACAACAGGAATTTGATCAGGATTCAAGTCATTCAATCATTCAAGCCTCAATCGAATATAATCAACTCATGAAATCTGTACTTGGGTTCATACAATCAGACCTAACATACAAATCTAGGGTTCTCCATACCCAGATGAATGGGAAAACTACTTTATGGAGAGAGAGGCAAAAGCAGATTCAGACGCGGAAATCATACTGTGAAGGATGAGTTTCTGCTCCTGGTTGTCAATCGGCACTTCTCCAAGCTCAAGCCGGGCTCCAATGGTGATGAAGATCAAGCTATGGCACTTGGGAACTCTGGTTCGTCGCTTTCTCTCTCTAGGAATCGCTCTCTCTCTCTAAAACTCGGGGCCCTTGATTTTTGGCCTTCTTTTCCTTTAAAAGGCTGACTGTCGCGATACCCGGTCGGGTAGTTTGTGTCGCGACCGGGTGTAACTGAAGCGCACCGTTTTTGCTTAAGGAAAATCCCTGGTCTGGCCCAAGAATCCCCGACCTGGGGTTTTTGCCTCATGCCCGGGCCCCCCTCTGTTTCTCACGGGTGCCAAAACAATAAATACCCGGTCGGGTATTTGAGCCCACGACCGGGTATTTTCCTCCTGCAGCACACTTTGACCCAACTGCGCTCCTTTCGACCCAAAACTCGTTTCCTCGCCTCGATTCCAACGTCGGGCCCTGAAATATGACATAAACACACAACCTCGTGTGAAATCGGCTTAAAACACGAGAGTCAACCTCTCAAACGGCTGAAAAATAGGGGTAAAAACCGGTGTAATTATTGGTCTATCAAACTCCCCCACACTTAACCGTTTGCTTGTCCCCAAGCAAACCTAACTCAAACCAATGCAACTCTCCAGACCTCTATAGCAACCAACAACCCCGATCATAGGTAGAGGATTTCCTATATCATTTAGCAGCTTACGAGGTCAACCGACGACCAAGTCATCTCATAGCTTCTTCGGCGAGAGCGCTAGTCTCGAGTCGGCATCATGGCAAATAGTGAACAGAGGACAAATGAATCGTGGACAACGGACTCTAAAAAACAAAAGATAATGGACTCACTTTTTTTCCAGGTGCTCTATTTTCTTCTTGAAGATGGTTGGAACCCCTTTTCTTTCTTTTTTGCTTGTTTTTCTTTTTTTTCTTTCAAGGGTCCCAACCTGCTTTTCAGAAAATGGGGGCTCCCACCTAGCAGAGGTTTTGCGGGAGCCCGGCTCTTACCGGCCATGCCAGGAGCGGATGTCTCGAGCCTCGTGCGGGAAATACATGTAAGGGGGCTGGAGGTAGTAGGTGGAAATTGGGAACGGATTCCCATCTCCACTTACACACTTTCGCCCTATTCGCACGGGAGACGTTATTTTAAAGCACCTTTTCGAGCACCTTTTATTTCAAAAACATGATACAGGAGTCCATGACAGGTAGAGAGTCCACATCACCACACAATTCAAGAGTCCTAGGATCACTAATTCACACAATCAACCAACACAATATGAAGAAGAAAGGAGACTTCTTAAATGCATCAACATCCTCCATAGTGCTACACTACCTCCCTAGGTTGCACATTACTATAGAGACTGTCAATTCAAAGCATACTAAGCAGGCAATTGCAAGGAACACGTACTTGGAGCCCTCAAATTTAAAAATTTGGACAGTGGACTAGGCTCCAAGCACACAAACAGATCTAACGCAGTCAAAAGATAAACATCCCCTCCACACTTAAGATCGACATTGCCCTCAATGGAGAAGAGGGAAGGGAAGACCAGTCAAGAACAAGCACAGCTAAAGGAAACCAAAGAGCTCAAACACAATACGTTAGGTCCAATGGTCAGCCCAATAGTACAGCATCCAAAATAAAAAGAGAGAAACTAAACCGACACAAGACAGGTTGCACGCTGACAAAAACAAAAACACTGAAAACATGCCACTAGGGGCCTCCTAGACCGGTGGAGTCGATCTGGTTCATGAGGTTGTCGTCTCCATCCTTTGGTGGTGGTGGTGGTGGTGGCGAATGATCCCACCGGGTGGTCCAGTGGTGCTCCTCTGGTGGGGGACAAGCCTGGAGCAGGTGCTCCGAGTACTCCATCAATCGGCGGCCTCGATCTCTCTCCCACTCGATGAGAGCACCCGTGACTCCCATATGGGTCTCTAAGCGGCTGAGGCGCTCGTCAACAACCGTCAACCTGGACTGGTACTTGGCCTGGTGGGCCGAATAATGTTGGTAGAACTGGACCTGATGGTCCATGAGCTGCTGGAACGGGAGCCCCATCTGCTGAAACTGCTCCGTGAAGAAGTCCATCGACGGGCCAGAAGCCATCGACGGACCAGAAGGACCGGAGGAGGACTCGCCTCTCTCTGATCTCCGTCATGGCCGAAGGTCCCTTGGTGGAGATAGTGGGGGCTCCGGCTCATCAGCATCCATGGCCCCGCCATCATCATCATCATCATCCGCCTCGCCAGAATAGTCATCGTCCTCCTCATCTTCATCGAGATCAACATCCTCGTCAGGAGGCAGGGAAAGCCCATCCACAGTGGAGCAGGTGCCATCAATGGACAGGAGGAGTGCATTGTGGAGCACTTCCCGGCTGAGGGGGGTGGAGCCGCCCCGTGCAGAAGAATCTGTGAGCCCCTGGAAGCTGATGTCGAAATGGCGCGCTAGACGGGTGATCAGGGGACCACAGTAGAGATGGTTGGGCTTCCCGTGGCATCGAGAGAAGGTGGTGGCCACGAAGGAACCCAAATGCAGCATGTGATCTGGGTCCCTCATCGAGTACATGGCATAGAGCACCCGCTTCGGAATCTTGTGCGAGCCGGTGACGTTGGGGACGATGGAGCGGGTGATGAGCAGGTTCAGGATGTGCCACTGAGGCTTGAGGGTGTGGACGTATGTCATGCCAGCGTCGAAGTAGTCGAACGCATAGGCGCGCCGGGCAATCTGCAAGTAGAACTCATCCATGTTCCAGTCTGTTGGATTCGGGACCTCGATCACGTGGCGGGAAGATGGGTGATACTGGATCCCCAAGGCGTAGGCCTGTCGCAACCGTCCCGTCCGGGGGTCCGAATGTCGTCGCGTCGGCATTTTGGGAGTCGCCATCGATCTTACTTGGAGTGGATCGAACACTCTTCGGTCGGCTCTAACCTTAGGGTCAGAACCGAGATATGGTCTGCAGTTAAGAGATATGGGTTCGGGAGTACGGTTACGTGTGGGGAAGTTAAGCAACACCCCCACAACGCCCTAAATCGGTACTACTTAAGTTTGATAAGTTTTATATTAATTGGGTGTGTTTTTAGTAATAATTTTTCAATTTTTAGGGGTCCCGCTGGACCATTTAATGATTTAATCATATTAGTTGTAATTTAATTATACGCCCACTGACGTAAAAATTTAAAGATAAAGTTAGTTGATTAATTGGACTCGAACCTTATCGGTTGCCTACGTACCCGTAAGACGGGATCAAAGTCCACGTAGTTCGCTTGAACTTAATCGTTATAATTATAACTTTACCACGTTCCACTGAACGTTAATTTTCGCATTTTAATTTTTGTTAATAAAACTTCATTTAGATTATTATGATGTTACTAATATGAATGCAAGAATTTTAATCATTAAGAAGAAATTCGATGTACACGACAAGAAGCAACACTAACTTAATCTGTATTTCATATTTCGTATTAAGCATTTTAAATAATAAACATAAACGAGATGGTTAAATAAAGTAAGATGTGCCAGTAGCCTAACTGGCCAAAATGCTGGCTGTTTGTCGGGTACGAACCCGTGGACCTGGGTTCGAAACTTGTGAACGTTGATTTTTTTTATTTTTCGTTTTAGTGTGCATATGGGGGAAGGGTAGTTTTGTAACTTCTCGAAAATGCGGTGGCAAGGCCGCGTAATTAACAATAAACCCTAGGGGCGATTTAGTCATTTGGAAAGGTATATAAGCAAAAATGAACCCTAATCACCACCATTTTGGCCGCCACTCTCTCATCTTCTTCTTCCTCTCGCTTCCTCCTCTCCACTCTAAAAAAAAAGAAAAACAAAACCCTAGCCGAATAAACCAGCCGCCTCTCTCCCTCTCGTTCTCATCTTCTCCAGAGAACCCTTGCCGAATAAAACCGCCGCTCACTCGTCTCTCTCACTTCTTCCTTTCTCACTCTTTTCTATAAACCGAGAGGATGACAGGGCTAACGTTCTCTCGTTCTGGAAATAACGAGGGGAACGACGGGGAAAGAGGGGCGTCGCCGGCGGCGACTGAGGACGAGCGCCGCCAACGCCAACAACGGCGATGGGGACTAGGTTTTTCTGAAGGTTAGGTTTTTTTGTTTGCATATAAGATTTTTACCATTTTTCTATTTTTCGATTTTCTATGTTCTAACCCTATTTCTTGTTTTTTCCTTTCGGAGGTCGAGCCAGAACCGAGGAAGGGCTCTCGATTTACCTTCTAACAGTCTCGACCTACCCTTTATAGTTGGAACAAAGGCGACGACGAGGAGGTCTTACCCTCTGGTAAGCCCTTTTCTACATGCATGTCTATTTTCGTTCGATTTAGGTGATTTTATTTGGGGTTTGGCTAATACTTGTTTCATTTTCTTTTGTGTTTTGGATTTGATCGGCGGCGAGATCCTGCCGACCACGATCTTCGTCTAAAAAAAACAAAAGAAGGGTAGGTTTTCGACTCCTAAATTTATTTTAATCTATCATTTTTATTGTTAACAAAAATAATTAATTTAGTTCATTCTTTTTTGTAGGTTTGAAAGAGAATCCAGATCTGGGTAAGGCTCTTCTAACTTCAGATTTGGTATGACTAAGGATAATTAAACTAAATAAACGGATTATTATTGTTGATTTGGGATTGATTAGCAGATCTGTGGTTTGGAAATATGATGTATATGGTTATGATGACATCGGATTTTATGCTTTGCGGTTTAATCGATAGTTTTAGGTTAAACTATTGACACGCTAGGGTTTGCTGATAAGAAAAGGTTTTTTTTAATAGAAAAGTAACTAACATAATTTTGGCGAGTATAACTCTCACCCTCTACATGTGATTTTGATAGAAAAGTGAACTAAATCCATTACCACTGCTTGTGATTTCGGGTAGGTTATGGACAATGATACTGCTACTGCACGTAATTTAATTCAAACATTTTTTTTGATTAATTTGGAAACTGATAAGAGTTTGTGAATCGAATATTATTGTCTTTATAGTTGCCATAGATCTGGATTTGATTTTGTTTATTGTGTATGATGATCTAGTGTTTATCAACTATTAATCTAAAAGTAAATATGACGACATAGTATAAGATTACAAGAGACTATCAATTGATGAGAAAGGTAAACAAGTGCTAAATTGAAAAAAGCCTAATGACATCACAACGAGCACATCTTAAGAGTGATTGGATGTAAAATGGATTGTAAAGTAAATTGTTTGAATATAAATAGGCAAGATGATGGATGATTATAACATTATAATGATTGTAACGACTGGATTAAAAATGAAAGATGGAAAGTTGATACCAGTACCAACCTGAATTTCTAGGCCTAAAAATGGCCTTTTGCCCGAGTCAATCTTCAAATTCGCTCCTTCAATCTCGCAGTTTCCTCCAATGAACTTCGGCCAAGAGCAAGAACCAAAAAAAATTGTTTGGGATGCAAAATAGATTTTTTTTCTTCTCTTCGTCCCCCTCCCCCTCAACACAGAGCCCAAAGAGCTCATTTATAGCAAGAATTGCATGCCACGTGTCATGCTGTGATTGATGATGAGCATGACGTGCTTCTCTTTGATTGGTTGGTTCTCAAGGCTGCTTCTGAGGCCTCCACCTTGCTTAGTCTATGATTGATGATGAGCATGACATGCTTCTCTCTGATTGGTTGGTTCTCAAGGCTGCTTCTGAGGCCTCCACCTACAAAGGTGCTGACTAACTGCTTGGATAAGATTGGGCCGAGTTGGGCCTTGAATTCGTTTGGGCCGGTACCAGGGCTTGGTCTAGTCCTGAACCTGGGTTCTGTTTTGGGCCGAATTGGGCTCTGTTTTGGGTTGTATCATGATCGCTTTCTTTTTCATTTTGCAGGTATGTGATCTGGTTTGGGCTCAAAGAGAGGAGAAGAAAAGGAGCCCAATGACTTCAATTGATGAGTCGGCCCAGTTTGAAATGGTGTTCAAACTTCAAATTTTTTGTTGTTAGTAGTAACAGGCAGTCATTGTAATTAGTTTCAGTTCGTACTTTGTACCATGTGTCAAATTTAACTATAAAGCTTTTGCCTCCATTTCATCTATCACGCCCATGTTCGAACCTCAAGCTTTGCACCTCTATTGTTTTTTTATAATTAATGTTTAAGATTTGCCACTGCTAATCTTATTAAATCGATTATATTTTAACCAATCCTAGAATCGACTAGGTTGGTAATATTGATTAGTTATTGACTTACCACTGCTAGTCTCAACTCATATGATATTAGAAAGAAAATTTGATAAATCATTGGTGCTTATTGACTCGCCACTGCTAATTTCAACCAATTCATCACAAGTTTCCACTTTCATTTGTTGTTATATTTTTATTTTACATAGAGTGTTTGTCCCGGACAAAATGTGGTGTCTACAGTTGCCCCCCTTTGTATATCTCTTTGTATAAAGAGTTATACAAAGTTTTATAAAGACACCACATTTTGAAGAAAATCTCATAAGTAGAATTGAACTTATCGTGGTAATAATGACGTATCCATATTGTTAAGATGATGGTAACCAAATTGTATAAGAAAATGGCAGTGATGAAATCAAACTGGCCATTCGGTAACAACGAACAGCGATATACTCAAGTTGTTCGTGATAGAAACAAATTGATCGATTTTGGAACATGTTAGCGATGAAATCAAGCTAACAATTTTGTAACAATGATATAATCGGGTCGTCTATGATAGAAATTTAGATGAACATCAAAATAAGTGCTAGCGATAAAATCAAGCTGACTGTGTTGCATCAACGATATACTCAAGTTATCCGTGGTAAAAATCAAACTAATCAATGGTAGAATAACAGCGATAGCGTCAAGCTAATCATTTTATAAGGACGATGTACTCAAATTGTTTGTGACAAAAATCAAATCAAACAATGAGGAAGATGTCAGTGATAAAGATCAAACTAACAATTTTGTAAGGGACATTTTACTCAAATTGCTCGCGATAGGAATCGAATCAAGCAATGAGAAGATGTTAGCGATAAAGATCAAGCTAACGATTTGGTAAAGGATATTGTACTCAAATTGCTCGCGATAGAAATCAAATAGAACAATGAGAAATGTTAGTGATAAAGATCAGACTAACAATTTTGTAAATGATATTGTACTCAAATTGTCTATGATAGAAATCAAATAGAACAATGAGGAAAACGTCAGCGATAAACATCAAGCTAACGATTTGGTAAAGGATGTTGTACTCAAATTGCTTGTGATAGGAATCAAATCAAGCAATGAGAAGATGTTCGCGATAAACGTCAAGCTAACGATTTGGTAAAGTATATTGTACTCAAAGTGCTTGTGGTAGGGATCAAATCAAGCAATGAGAAGATGCTAGTGATAAAGATCAAACTAACAATTTTGTAAATGATATTGTACTCAAATTGTCTATGATAGCAATCAAATAGAACAATGAGGAATATGTTAGTGATAAAGATCAAACTAACGATTTGGTAAAGGATATTGTACTCAAATTGTCTATGATAGAAATCAAATAGAACAATGAGAAAGATGTTAGTGATAAAGATCAAACTAACAATTTTGTAAAGGATATTGTACTCAAATTGTCTATGATAGAAATCAAATAGAACAATGAGAAAATGTTAGTGATAAAGATCAAACTAACAATTTTGTAAATGATATTGTACTCAAATTACTTGTGATAGGAACGAGAAGATGTTAGTGATAAAGATCAAACTAACAATTTTGTAAAGGATATTGTACTCAAATTGTCTATGATAGAAATCAAATAGAACAATGAGAAATGTTAGTGATAAAGATCAAACTAACAATTTTGTAAATGATATTGTACTCAAATTGTCTATGATAGAAATCAAATAGAGCAATGAGAAATGTTAGTGATAACGATCAAACTAACAATTTTGTAAAGGATATTGTACTCAAATTGCTTGTGACAAAAATCAAATCAAACAATGAGAAATGTGCTAGCGATAAAGATCAAGCTAACATTTGGTAAATGCGTAGTGGTATTTCGCATAAAAAGGTTTTCATGTACATTTAGAAAGATATTTTAGGAATTTTAGGAATTGATCGTGATGCATAGCAAGTCACCTTGACGTATGATGATGTTATGCAGTGGGTATTGAAATAATTATGTATGATGCCATGCTGGTGAAGTCATGAATGTTGAGTGAAAATGACAAAACGATGATCTTTACAATTGGTACGCAAATATGTTGCTTTGTTTTTGCTTTGATTTTTATTTTGTGTTTTAACCTGGGGTCCTTTAAATTGCTCATCCTCCAGGAATCGTTATTTCCTTTCGATTGACTCGATCCTTAGGTCATGCTTTATGTTGGAGTGACTTTGAACTCGTTGTTTTGAATATATCTTCTTGGTAGTAGTTGTGCGATGATATACTTTGTAAGGTGAAGTGATGATGTGTACTGCTTTATCCTTCTTCTCGGCCAGGTATGGGCCCACACGTTTCAGAGTCGTATAATTCTCAGTCAGTGCGGTATAATAGGACTTCTTTCTTGCTATGCATTTGAAGCATAATCGATTGGCTGGTTGGCTCAATGAGATCTGAATGTTTTCAGACTTCCTGAGATTTTCCCATCAGCTCATGCGTGAAAAGATGATTAATCCGATTCTTGGGTACTCAGACTTCCCCTTCTTCCATGATGCACCAATTTTTCCCCCGAAGATCCGTTACTCACTTTCTATTCTTCGGAACAAAGAGTGACTATATCAAGCAAAAATGTTTGAAAAACGTTTATTAGAGAATTAAAATTGAAAGCCATGTCAAGACTTTGGTTTTAAGAAGTGTGTGCAAACTGGACAAAACCGTTTTTATGTGGTAGTTGTCATATTGCCAAATTTGGTTTTCTAAGAGAAATGTAAGCCAAGCCATGAGAATATCAGTAAGCCCTCGCTCTCACGCTTTCCTTCGATTTTGATCGCTCTCACTCCTGCTTTGGATTTCGCTCTTCACTCATTCCTATAGGTGATTTGAGTGTACGACACTTCAGCTACCATTAAGATTCTGGTCACCTTGAGATGTCGGCTTTATGTTGTGGCCAAATGTGTTCCTTATGATGATTTACTCAAATATGGAAGCCCTTGGTATGATTGCTTTAGGAGACCTGCATATGGCTTCGTCACTAACGTTCTTAGTTTCCCATGAAAGAGGCCTTTATCCGATATGACTTTGAGGATACGAGTCTCCTTGTTCTTGAGGTGTAGTTCGACAATATCTGTATAAAGCTTCTTGTAGAGGGATTTTGGATTTGCCCCCAAAGTATGGGATTGACTTGATGGATTAAGAACCACTTATTATCTGGATCTATTTGCTGACAAAGTCTTGTTCGAAAATACTGGTGGATTTTCTCAGAATGTATTCTCAGCTGGATTTGCCCCCCAGTATTTTTCTCTAGCCGAGGCTGTGATTTTCGTGAATGCAATCTGGCTTGGGACTTGTCGAGGTCCTTGTTTGGCCTCTAAATTTTGAATGTTGTGGATTTTCAGCTTCTGGCTTTCTCTCAAAATGATGAGTACTTTGGATGATGGGTTTTGGCTAGAACGACTTTCTTATCATCACAGTTTACTGTTTGAAGGTCCTTCTTGTCGTATCTTGAGATTGATCGGGCAAGACTTTGGCTTGGTGCAGGTATTTGGTACTTCAAATGCTAAACCGGGGGCACCTAGATTGTAAGTCCCACGACATTTTGTTTGTTTTTCTTTTGTCTCTTTTCTTTGTTTTGTATGTGTGGGACTTACTGGACTCTGTCATGCCCCATATGTGTTTCACATTTTCCCTGATCTAGCACTTGTATCTGGTAGGACGATTATCGAAAGGTAGAGAGTCTTCTTGATGATCGATGATGTGAGTGCCACTTCTCCATAACTAGATTAAATTGGCTATTCTTTTTGGTAAAAGTAGGGATGCTGACGCCATTTGCTTGCCGGTATTGCGCAAATATCTCACGATCGGACTTTGACGTGTGAGTTTAATAGACGCTCCGTCCGTAAGGAGGTAAGCTCTCGAATCGAGGATAAGACTGCTTTCTTGGTGTGAATCCTTTGCATGATAAATTATGTCCTTGATCTTCCTCGATATTCTAGTCATGAGACTCTGTGAGGATTTACTTGCTATGATAGTAATGTTAGGCTCCCCGTGCATCGGGATTTGGCTACTTGACTTCACGCAAACTAAACCTCAATTTGTTGGCAAAAGTCTACTACAATGGTGACGAGTTTCTACAAATAGCATGATGTCGTATACTCATTACACCCTTTGACTATTAGCTCACATAATTCATGGACACCAGTAGGGTGTTCACCTCTCGATTTTAGCAAAACAAGTACACTCGTAACACCAGTGGGTGTTCAAAATTAGGACAGTAGCATGGTGTTGATAATTGCTCGACGCCAGTGGAGTGTCCCAAATCTCAGCACCAGTGGGGTGCTCACATTTTCTTGGCATGACAATCTCATGGCTTAGCTTGAAAATAAAACTGGATTTTGATGGCTTTCATTTTTGTAGAAGATAAACCCGTTTTAAAAAGAAAAGGATCCGAAGTGGCATTCATGATTTTGATAAAAACATTGATGCAAACTCTTAAATTTAGATCGATAGTGGTCACACAATGCTCCAAAGAGGTCGAAACATGAAAGACCTTTTATTTATTATGATAAAAGCAGAAGTGATACATATTTTGCTAAAGCAAATTATCTCGATATTTTATTTACTAGGTAGGATCAACATCATCCTTAAATCGAGCTTTGCCTTGTAGTATATCTACTAATTCCCATGAGTTGGCAGTGGGTTATTGTTGACATCCGGACGCTTTGGCTCATCATCAAACTTTAACCAACCAGTATTCATCATTTGTTGGACCTTGATCTTGAGCGATCTGCAATCCTCAGTTGAGTGTCCTGCTACTCCCGAGTGGTAAGCACAATGCTGGTCTGTTTTGAACCAGTTTGGATAAGGAGGTTTCATAGGTTCACATGGTATTGGGGAGATTAGGTTACCTTGAATTAGCTGAGGAAAAAGTTCAGTGTATGTGATAGGAATAGGATCGATTTGGATGGGTTTCCTGAATCTCTCATAATTATTCTGATTTTGGTTATTTGGTGGTGGTGCGACTCGTGTCGGGCTCTGGATGGCTCGTTGAGTAGGAAAAGTTGGACGTTGATTAATTATTGCAGCACTTGCAACACATGGATGGGCTTGATTGGCCTGAGGTTGATGATCCCACCTTCTTCCTCTGGATAATTCTGTTTGAGCATAATGGACATCTCCTTCTCCTCTTCGGGCTTGGTGTGGTTTCTTAGAGGCTTCTGGGGTTTCCATCCGACCTTGCTTCAAACCCTTTTCTATTCGCTCTCCGATTACAAGCAGATCCGCAAAGTTGGTCGTCGTAATTCCGACCATGTTGTTGTAGTATGGAGCCCTTAGTGTTCCGAAGAAGATTGACACCATCTCCTTTTCTGACAGAGGAGGTTGAACGTCCGCAGCTTTCTCTCTCCACCTTTGAGCATATTCCCTGAAAGATTCTTTTTCATTCTTTTCCATATTCCTCAGGTCTTCTCGGTCTGGAGCCAGATCCTGGTTATGCTTGTAGTGCCTCATGAATGCATCAGCGAGGTCTTGCCATCTTCTCACTTTTGTTTTCTCTAGTTGCATATACCATCGTAGGGCAGAACTACTCAGGCTGTTTTGGAAGCAATGTACCATTAGCCTTTCATCTCGGATATGGTTGGCCATTTTGTTACAGTACATGACCAGATGACTTTTTGGGCAAGTGGTGCCATTATATCTTTCAAATTCTGGCATTTGAAATTTGTGAGGAATCACGACATCCGGGACTAGACATAGTTGTGATGCATCCATAGGCTCGTACGACTCAACTCCTTCTATGCTTCTTATTCGTTCATTAATGTGTTCTAATTTTTCTTCTAGCATAGCTTCGATTTTATGTTCTTCTTGCTTCTCGGGTTCTCCGGATTTGTCATGCTTTGATGACCCAATATCACCTTTGTCGCCTGTGTTCTTCGAAGGTATGAGAATGAATTTACTGCCTGAGACGTTTCCCTGAGGTTGCTCATAGTGATCGTCGTCGTCAAATACGATTTCTTCCTCGTTTGTTGCAACCTCCTTCCCTTTTCTGGACAATATGCTCACTATTGTGTTGAGCTGGCTTTTCATCTCATCGAAGCCCGTTAGTTTCTCATCGAACCCCACTAGCTTCTCGTCAAAACCGGTCAGCTTTCCTTTGATGTCGTTCAACTCCTTTTGAAATGCCTCCATGACGACCTCGAGCTTGGATCTAGTTAAGTACTTGAAGTCTTGACTCTTTCCTTGTGGACGAGCAATTTTAAGGAACCCTGACCAATTATTTTTATTAAATTGACTTGAATGAGTAATGGAGAGTATGTATGATGCTTATGCGATGCACAGATGCACAGATGATTCATTGGATGCACGTGCATTTTGAAAATGTTCTCAAGATTTATTTTGAATGCATAAGCGAAAACCCAAAAAGAGAATGATGCTTATGAGTTTCCTTTTTTTTTCAAAGAAGAAAAGAAAATTCATATTGTTCTCACAAATAAATATATCGCGATTGGTAAAACATACCACAAATTATCACGTCAGTAGAAAACATACATATATAGATAATAAAAATATAGCACTATTTGGGAAAACCTAGGGCTTTCAGAGGGCATAATGACGTGGTGCTAGGGTTGTTTCGGGATTATTTTGGACGGTTTAGGGAGGCCTCTATGCTTACTACATGCTCGCAGAGGAATTCCTAGGGATTTGGTCCCCAAGTTGTATCCTGCCATAGCCCTTACGAGCTGGTTGGATACCTCAAGATCATCCTCGGATCTGAGTTCAACTTGGTTGGAAAGTTTTGCGTGACTACCACCACTGTGAAAGTCACGGTACTCCTTTTCCGTTTCTAATGGGATAGCTCGGGTATAGAGCTTTCATGCATGAATGCATAATTTAAATGCGAAAATATAATTGCGCAAATAGTAAAGTAAACACCCAACACGTAATAGAAAATTAGAAAACTTATCGAACTTAGTTCTGTAGTTCGACTCTCAAAGTCCCCAGCGGAGTCGCCAACTGTCGCAACCGTCCCGTCCGGGGGTCCGAATGTCGTCGCGTCGGCATTTTGGGAGTCGCCATCGATCTTACTTGGAGTGGATCGAACACTCTTCGGTCGGCTCTAACCTTAGGGTCAGAACCGAGATATGGTCTGCAGTTAAGAGATATGGGTTCGGGAGTACGGTTACGTGTGGGGAAGTTAAGCAACACCCCCACAACGCCCTAAATCGGTACTACTTAAGTTTGATAAGTTTTATATTAATTGGGTGTGTTTTTAGTAATAATTTTTCAATTTTTAGGGGTCCCGCTGGACCATTTAATGATTTAATCATATTAGTTGTAATTTAATTATACGCCCACTGACGTAAAAATTTAAAGATAAAGTTAGTTGATTAATTGGACTCGAACCTTATCGGTTGCCTACGTACCCGTAAGACGGGATCAAAGTCCACGTAGTTCGCTTGAACTTAATCGTTATAATTATAACTTTACCACGTTCCACTGAACGTTAATTTTCGCATTTTAATTTTTGTTAATAAAACTTCATTTAGATTATTATGATGTTACTAATATGAATGCAAGAATTTTAATCATTAAGAAGAAATTCGATGTACACGACAAGAAGCAACACTAACTTAATCTGTATTTCATATTTCGTATTAAGCATTTTAAATAATAAACATAAACGAGATGGTTAAATAAAGTAAGATGTGCCAGTAGCCTAACTGGCCAAAATGCTGGCTGTTTGTCGGGTACGAACCCGTGGACCTGGGTTCGAAACTTGTGAACGTTGATTTTTTTTATTTTTCGTTTTAGTGTGCATATGGGGGAAGGGTAGTTTTGTAACTTCTCGAAAATGCGGTGGCAAGGCCGCGTAATTAACAATAAACCCTAGGGGCGATTTAGTCATTTGGAAAGGTATATAAGCAAAAATGAACCCTAATCACCACCATTTTGGCCGCCACTCTCTCATCTTCTTCTTCCTCTCGCTTCCTCCTCTCCACTCTAAAAAAAAAGAAAAACAAAACCCTAGCCGAATAAACCAGCCGCCTCTCTCCCTCTCGTTCTCATCTTCTCCAGAGAACCCTTGCCGAATAAAACCGCCGCTCACTCGTCTCTCTCACTTCTTCCTTTCTCACTCTTTTCTATAAACCGAGAGGATGACAGGGCTAACGTTCTCTCGTTCTGGAAATAACGAGGGGAACGACGGGGAAAGAGGGGCGTCGCCGGCGGCGACTGAGGACGAGCGCCGCCAACGCCAACAACGGCGATGGGGACTAGGTTTTTCTGAAGGTTAGGTTTTTTTGTTTGCATATAAGATTTTTACCATTTTTCTATTTTTCGATTTTCTATGTTCTAACCCTATTTCTTGTTTTTTCCTTTCGGAGGTCGAGCCAGAACCGAGGAAGGGCTCTCGATTTACCTTCTAACAGTCTCGACCTACCCTTTATAGTTGGAACAAAGGCGACGACGAGGAGGTCTTACCCTCTGGTAAGCCCTTTTCTACATGCATGTCTATTTTCGTTCGATTTAGGTGATTTTATTTGGGGTTTGGCTAATACTTGTTTCATTTTCTTTTGTGTTTTGGATTTGATCGGCGGCGAGATCCTGCCGACCACGATCTTCGTCTAAAAAAAACAAAAGAAGGGTAGGTTTTCGACTCCTAAATTTATTTTAATCTATCATTTTTATTGTTAACAAAAATAATTAATTTAGTTCATTCTTTTTTGTAGGTTTGAAAGAGAATCCAGATCTGGGTAAGGCTCTTCTAACTTCAGATTTGGTATGACTAAGGATAATTAAACTAAATAAACGGATTATTATTGTTGATTTGGGATTGATTAGCAGATCTGTGGTTTGGAAATATGATGTATATGGTTATGATGACATCGGATTTTATGCTTTGCGGTTTAATCGATAGTTTTAGGTTAAACTATTGACACGCTAGGGTTTGCTGATAAGAAAAGGTTTTTTTTAATAGAAAAGTAACTAACATAATTTTGGCGAGTATAACTCTCACCCTCTACATGTGATTTTGATAGAAAAGTGAACTAAATCCATTACCACTGCTTGTGATTTCGGGTAGGTTATGGACAATGATACTGCTACTGCACGTAATTTAATTCAAACATTTTTTTTGATTAATTTGGAAACTGATAAGAGTTTGTGAATCGAATATTATTGTCTTTATAGTTGCCATAGATCTGGATTTGATTTTGTTTATTGTGTATGATGATCTAGTGTTTATCAACTATTAATCTAAAAGTAAATATGACGACATAGTATAAGATTACAAGAGACTATCAATTGATGAGAAAGGTAAACAAGTGCTAAATTGAAAAAAGCCTAATGACATCACAACGAGCACATCTTAAGAGTGATTGGATGTAAAATGGATTGTAAAGTAAATTGTTTGAATATAAATAGGCAAGATGATGGATGATTATAACATTATAATGATTGTAACGACTGGATTAAAAATGAAAGATGGAAAGTTGATACCAGTACCAACCTGAATTTCTAGGCCTAAAAATGGCCTTTTGCCCGAGTCAATCTTCAAATTCGCTCCTTCAATCTCGCAGTTTCCTCCAATGAACTTCGGCCAAGAGCAAGAACCAAAAAAAATTGTTTGGGATGCAAAATAGATTTTTTTTCTTCTCTTCGTCCCCCTCCCCCTCAACACAGAGCCCAAAGAGCTCATTTATAGCAAGAATTGCATGCCACGTGTCATGCTGTGATTGATGATGAGCATGACGTGCTTCTCTTTGATTGGTTGGTTCTCAAGGCTGCTTCTGAGGCCTCCACCTTGCTTAGTCTATGATTGATGATGAGCATGACATGCTTCTCTCTGATTGGTTGGTTCTCAAGGCTGCTTCTGAGGCCTCCACCTACAAAGGTGCTGACTAACTGCTTGGATAAGATTGGGCCGAGTTGGGCCTTGAATTCGTTTGGGCCGGTACCAGGGCTTGGTCTAGTCCTGAACCTGGGTTCTGTTTTGGGCCGAATTGGGCTCTGTTTTGGGTTGTATCATGATCGCTTTCTTTTTCATTTTGCAGGTATGTGATCTGGTTTGGGCTCAAAGAGAGGAGAAGAAAAGGAGCCCAATGACTTCAATTGATGAGTCGGCCCAGTTTGAAATGGTGTTCAAACTTCAAATTTTTTGTTGTTAGTAGTAACAGGCAGTCATTGTAATTAGTTTCAGTTCGTACTTTGTACCATGTGTCAAATTTAACTATAAAGCTTTTGCCTCCATTTCATCTATCACGCCCATGTTCGAACCTCAAGCTTTGCACCTCTATTGTTTTTTTATAATTAATGTTTAAGATTTGCCACTGCTAATCTTATTAAATCGATTATATTTTAACCAATCCTAGAATCGACTAGGTTGGTAATATTGATTAGTTATTGACTTACCACTGCTAGTCTCAACTCATATGATATTAGAAAGAAAATTTGATAAATCATTGGTGCTTATTGACTCGCCACTGCTAATTTCAACCAATTCATCACAAGTTTCCACTTTCATTTGTTGTTATATTTTTATTTTACATAGAGTGTTTGTCCCGGACAAAATGTGGTGTCTACAAGGCCAACCCGTCAATGGTCAGCTCCCGGGGGTAGCCACCCAGCCTGAATCTCACTGCATACTGCATAGGAGTCCCGGGCCGCTTTGCTGTCGTACTTGAAAGTGGTGTAGAACTCCCACACCAGCTCAGTGTAGGTGGGCTCCTCGATAGTCAGCAGCGTCCGCCAATCGCGGTGGCTGATGGCGGCGGTGAGCTCCTGTATGCAGTGGAGCTGCTCGAAAACTGCACACTCCAAATGGTGGTGGCGCTCCAATTTCCCCCGAGTCACCGCGCGGAACTGGTCCGCGTAATCCGGGTGCAAGCTCAGGCCCTGCACAAACTGATGGTCGAGGGACATGCTCCTGCAAAATCAACAAACCAAGATGGAGCCAAGTAAAAACTAGTCAGGACCAACAGCATGGGTTCGTCACTTCCCCCACACTTAAGGATCACCTAGGCTAACAGCTTAAGCACAGACGGTTGAATCACAAGCAACTCAACCGGAATCAAGGCAAGACCCACAGAACCAACCACATTAATTACACGGGCAGCACAGACACCATAGATAGAACCAAGCATACTCAAAGCTTCCCTCACCCTAGTCTAAATCATGCAATCATATACAGTTCTCGGTCCTACAATCTACAGTTCGATTTTCCAGGGAAGAGCAGTTAACAAGAAACACACCTGAAAATGCAAGGAGAACTGTAGCTAAGGCTAAAAAAAACGGGTGAGGGACGCGAGACGGAGGCAAAAAATGACCCGGGAGAATCGCCGGAAAATGGCCGGAAAACCGCCGGGAAGTCGCCGGAAAACGACCGGCGGTGGGTGCAGCGGCGGCCGGGGGCGGTGGGGGCGGCCGGCGGCGGGGGCGGCGGCCGGTGGCGACGGGAGCGACGGCCGGCAGTGGCTAGGGCGGCGGAGCGCGGCTGCCGGCGGCGCTCAAGAAGAGAGAGGGGA